CTTACGGAATAGCCCGTATTTGTTAAAATTAAATTTGAGACATTGTTTTGATAGATTTAGAAAAAATTTACCTAAATAGTACTCAAACATAATGACTTTTTCAATGTAATACCATATATTTTTATTTTCCTATATAGTATCACTGGTCATTGTCTACTGGTCATTATTCAAAAATATATCGACCGCCACTGGACATTGTTCTAACTAAATATTTACCATCACTAGACATTGTTCCCACCATAAAAACTTTATTCAAGTACTATTTAGGAAATAAAAAAATTTAAATATACATTGAAAAAGAATATATATGTTTTAATACTAGTACGTATTTACTTTATCCAGCCCACAAGTAGTAGCCCCAGGCCCAGTACTCTGGCAGTAATGTTGTTACTAGAGGTTGCAATCGGATCAACCGGATCGGTTTCGGGTTGGATATTTTCGGTTCCGATATCTTTCGGTTATATGTTATAATCGGTTCGGTTCGGTTCGGATCAGTTAAATTTCGATTCGGATTTGATTTCGGTTCTATACATTTTTCGGTTCGGTTCGGTTTCGAGTCGGTTTAGATACGGTTTGGTTATAAATCGGTTCGGATAGATTTTGGTTCGGATACAATTTGAGTCGGATATATTTCGGTTTCGGGTCTAGTTCGGTTCGGATATATTTCGGTTTCGGATCAAATATATTTTGGATATATATTATTTTCTAATTAAAATTTAACTATCCGTGTTTCTTTTTATTTTATATTTTTTTCTAGTTATATTATCTCTACCCTAAATAATCTTCCCTTTTTGACTTTTTAGTCATATTTTACAAATTTGGACTACAAATTATGAAAACATACATATTTAATTATGATATAAATTTAATATAATTAAATTGATTTTAAAATTTAGTTTTGAAATATCAAATCTTTCTCACATCTACTAATATACTTATGTATATAAATGAAAGGATAAAAGATAAATTCAAATAGTCTTATGTTCCATTTTAATACAATTTGGTAAAAATTGAGTAAAATTGGGTGAAATTAAGTGAATTTTATTCAATTGAGTGCAAAATTTGTAAATTGTTGAGTATATTTGGTTGAAAATAGAGAAAATTAAATTTAATAGAGTCAAATATAATTAATTTTACACCTAAATGTAATAGTGTAGATCAAATTTGAAAATGATAACAGTAAAGGCTACCGCTAGAGAGTCTTTTCAAAATGCTAATACTAGCATATAATTTTATTGACTAATATTGAGTGAATTGGTTTGAAACTAATCAAATTAACTCTCAAATTAATAAAATTTATTGTAATGAGATGAAATTAGGATAAAATCTAGTTATCCCATACAATTCATCATATATTTCTTTCGTTCCAAAAAGAATATCACACTTTACTATTTAAAAATTACGGAAATTTTATTTGTTTGTGTGTTATCATTTATATGTATAACTTATCTTTACTTTCTACATATAATAAATTTAAGGCATAAAATTTTGTACTTTTTTCAAGAAGATAATCTATTTTATGAGGGAATGAGCAAATAATGTAATTAGTTCAAATGGTAAAATAAAAGTAAAAAATTTAAAAATGTAATATGCTTATTGAAAGGCAAACATAGTTCTGAATTTATCGATTTTAGTTCTAATCGGGTTCGGATATTATCGGTTTCAGATCTAATCGGTTTCGGGTATTATCGGGTTCGGATCTAATCGGTTTCGGGTTTAATCGATTCGGATATTATCGGTTTCGGATCTAATCGGTTTCGGATTTAAATCGGATATGAATTATAGATCGGATCTTCATTTTTCGGGTCATTCCGGTTTCGGTTTCGAATATTTCGGTTCGGGTAATCGGTTCCGGTTCTGCTTTGCCAGGTCTAGTTGTTACCCACGGGTAGAACGCACTAAGCCCATTGACTTACAGGCTGCTTTCTCCAAGAGCATGCAGTTCACTCAAGCTGACACGGGAGCCTCCTCTTCCTCACACATTACATCCAATCCAAGGTAAGATTCAAAACCCTATCTCATTCATTTAACTGTTCGCAATAATTTTAGTTGGCAATGGCAGCTTGTTTACCAATTAATTTTAGTTCCCTCACACATTCACACCACCACAGCTTCCAACCAAGAAGCCCCCTAACCCACCTCCTGAAACTGGGCCAGCCCCCATCCTGCTGCCATACCAAATCCACAACAAACATTCACCCTATGGCCACCCGTTCCAAATCAAATAGCCACCGCCCAAATCCACCGATCAGACTTTACACCGCCGCCATTTCTCAAATCCTATGCCAACGCCTTTGGCATTCCTAATTAGTTGCATGCTATGGAAACTAATATAACGCGTTACAGGTTAATGGGACTTGGGATTTCGTTCCGTGCCAGTTGATCGGCCTATTATTAGATGCACGTGGCTTTTCCGCCATGAATTTAAATCAGATTAGCTTGTTGAATTGGGCAGATACACGACTCGGTTGGTCGTCGTTAATTAATGGTAAGTCATAGACGGTGGGCATTGACTACAAGGACACTCATTCTTGGCCCATTCATCAGGTGGATGTCAAGAACGCATTTTGACAGGAAACGGTATTTATGCATCAACCATTCAACCCCTGGCTTCGTTGATTAAAGGCACCCCAATCTTGTTTATCGGCTGAAGAAATCATTATATGGACTCAATAGGTGACCCGGGCTTGATACACTAGATTTACCACGTTTATTTCTTCTCACGGGTTTACTAGTAGTGCATGAGATAACTATCTGTTCATTTACAAATATGCCTCTCAACTTGTCTATCTACTTCTTTATGTTGAGGACATCATCATTATAGCCTCCTCCAGTGATCTACTTCGAAGCATTATTACCATACTCTCACGAGAGTTTGCCAAGACTGATTTGGGGCACTTACACCATTTTTTGGGCATCAAAGTTGTCCGCAAGCCTCAAGGGCTGTTTTTATCTCAACCACGGTAAACTAAAGACATCATTGCTCGGGCTTCCAAGATAGCTTGCAAAACGTGTGCCACCCCTGTTGATTGAGCGGCTAATCTCACCTTATTTAATGACCCAACACTTTATCGCAGTTTGGCAGGGGCACTTCAGTATCGCACCTTTAACAGGCACGATATCTCTTATGTGGTTCAGCAGGTTTGTTTATTTATGCATGAGCCACGTGACCCACACTTTGGGTCCATGAAATGTATCATCCATTACTTACAAGGTACATCGGATCATGGCATATGGATTCTTTTATCACCCAGTAATTCCATAGTGGCCAATTTTGATGCAGACTAGGGTGGCTGTCCAAACTCTACACGGTCTACTAGTGGGTATTGCGTGTTTCTGGGTGACAACCTCATCGCTTGGTCGTCCAATTGTCAACCCACAGTTTCCAGATCCAGTGCTGAGGCTGAATACAGGGTGTTGCTAATGCTGTTACCGAAGCCACTTGGACCCGTAAATTGTTACTTGAGCTTCATGTTCCTCTGACAGTCTGACTCGAGCATCTGTGGTATACTGCAACAACGTTTCTGCTGTGCATCTCGTGGATAACCCGGTTCAACATCAACACACCAAGCACATTGACTTTGATATTCATTTTGTTCGAGAGAAGGTCCAAACTGGTCACATCAGAGTTTTACATGTTTCATCTGCCGTACAATACGCCAACATCTTCACCAAAGGCATCTCACGACCACTATTCCAGTCCTTTCGGTCCAGCTTGAGCATTTGTCCACCGCCCGCTCAAACTGAAGGGGGGGGGGGGGTCTTAGTCACATATATTGCTATTAAAATCTTTTATTATTTTAGGGGATATATCTTGTTATTTGAATTGTATATATTTCTTCCTTAAATAGTGCTAGGGTTATTGATTGTAAATCCCGTATAAATAGGGATGCTTGGTATCAATGAGATCATTGAGAAATTCATACCATAAACACTTTCACTAAATACGGCTCTTCTTTGCTAAGCGATTGTCCACCTCATGACCATGATGAGTCATCACATTGACTTCATGAAAAATTCCATGGACAGGTCAATCCACTCAGCTCCTCTTTGCAATGCACAAGACACCAGCAGAAAGCAGAAAACCTGAGGCCTGGGGTTCCCACCCCGACTATCGCGACAAGTCCCAAATAGATATGAACTTATTCAAAACATCAAAAATGTTATGAAATCATGTTAGGGAAATTAGGAGCCAGCTTGTTAAAGTTCACGAGTTCCTTTTTTCTCTGTCACCCACTAGAGGGCCTTTTCGTATATACTATCTCTATGTCAATGACCACCATATGCAATCTGTGTCAATGAACACCATATGTAGATCTTTCTTCTTTTAGGCAAGGCTATAATTACCATTCATTGTCTTAGCAAGAACATATGAAAAGCAGGTAACCGATAAGTTTTATCCAGAAGTAGGCTGCATATGAGAAGCAATTATAACTTACAATTTGCCACTAGATCCTAAGAAAATATGAGATGCTAAAATACTCTTATCAATGCCACAACCGTTTAAGCCTATTCTTCTCAAAGACAGTGGAAGACCTGGGCATCACCTTCACTCTACTCAGGCGTAGTTGCTGTTGTACTAAGAATAAGTTCATGGGATATGGAAGTGTTTATTTGGATCCGCATTGCAAACTCAGATGTGAATTCTACGGATTTCCTTAATCAGATACTTGGGTACATTGCTACTAGATATTTCAAATAGCCATCAATTTACCCAACATTTTAATTGTCAATTTGAAAGAGGAAAAATAAACATTCTGCAAAAGGATATGATATGAATTGGAGTGGAACTGGAAGGCTGATATATATATAAAAAGACTGTATTTTACTTGTGTCTTGTGAACATCAGAACATGTCAACAGGAAGAAAGAAGCAAGAACCAGTATCAGAAATCAGAAACAGATAGAATTCAATTTGACATTATTACAATGCTATATCGCATTTGTCTGAACAAACTTCAAAAAGAAGGCACAAAATATTTCAATTACAATGTTGATTGGCCCAGTTGAGACACAAGGGGAATGGAAAAACTTTAAAATAAATAAATAAAAGATCTGAATTTTGACAGGAATAGCTAACCCCAACCTTTGATAGATAGAAAGAACTAATGAAACACAAAAAAGACGCCGCCTTTAGTCTATTTAGGTAGATAGCAAGAAGCAAAAACACAAGGGGGTCTATGGTGTGCAACATTTAAAATAAAACAGAAAATTGAAGTGATACTAATTAATTCATACCTTTTGTAATACATCTTCCAAGCTCATCTAACGCTGCAGTAATACGTGGCAGATGTTTAGCATCAACTGTTGTGGAGAGTGTCTCATGGACTGGGGCTAACGATGGTTTAAAGGAATACGTGGACTTGGGAATTCCTTCCACTTCTTTACAAACTGCAGGCTTTTTTAGTATTCTCGTTTCAGAATCATACTCGTACAGATATCCACCAACTGCTAGGAATATCACCTGTTTGCCATCAATGCAGATTGGAAGTAGAGACCAAATGGTTTTCGCCAAAGTGGGGCAAACTGTCCAGTTACTTGTTTCAAAATCATAAGCTGCAATCTTTGTTGAGTCCTTGTAGGTGCCAACAAGAGTAAGTTGTCCTTGCACCATCACTAACTTTTTATAGGTAGAGCATAGAGTCTACCTAAATCTGCGGCGGCGGCCCTTTGGATTTATGTACTTACGAATATGATTGACGAACTCAGGAGGAGGGTCAAGAAATGTAGCTTCTTCTCTCTTCGCATCAAAAGCAAGCACACGTATATCAGAGTTGAGCCAATGCAAAGAATCATCTTGCACATAAGCAGGTGGTGGTGGTTTAATATCTTTGCTGCTGCTGGGGATCATTCTTATTTGGACTTGACGCCACAATCCAAATCTCTCTTTCGAAGATGATGAAAATACGTGAAAACTATACCCTTTTCCTTCATCCAGCCACTCCACGGTAACCAATTTATATAGATCTGAAGCAGGGTAATCAACAAATAAGCCTGCATCACCAAGTCTCTCGAGACTATAGTGCCCCCGGTATGGTATCAACTGATGGGCTCTGGTTATAGGATTGAACACGCAAAACATCCCAACTCCAGGAAACACTAGGAGAAGAAGACCCCTGCATACCGCCAACACAAAAACACTATAGAGTGCACAAGTCTCTTTCGATTGAACAAGTCTGTGTGGGATAATAATCAGGTCTCTGAAGATTTTCTGCAAGTCACGGGACACGTCAAAGGATGTAGGAGGCAGGGCTAGTGTCCAGACCTTTCGATCATGTTGGAACAAAGTTTGAGAAAATTTAGGGTTCGAAATCCAACTGTTGAATCTCTTGCTAATAAGTTTACATTGAATCGCAAGCTTGAAAGGCAGGCGAGAGATGATCTCCGCAACTAAGTCATCATCCAATTTCACAGTCTTTGCCATCTATCTTGTTGAGAATTCCTCAATGTCTTCCTTCTTCTACTCCTCTTTTATAAGCAACAAGAAACAACACAAACAATACTTGTTTTAAGTAACCTAAATCGGCTAAAGAATGCATGACAGGGTATCATTATATATATAAAGGATTTGGCCGTTGGGTTTCCAAAATTATGACATTTTTTTAAAATATTATCATTCATGTCATCAAGAGCATTTAGTGGAATTTTCTTGATTAACGCCCTTAATATACATAATTACTTCATATTTGCCCCCCCTTATATTTGTATGATGTTTTTTTAACTAATTAGATTAGTCATACATATTTATTATATAATTTATAAAATAATGGGAAATGCCATGGGTAGTTTCATATAAATATGTTGACTGATATGGAAAATATTTGAACTAATAAGGAAAAGATCATATAGACTTACAAAAATTTTAATTAATATTGAAAATATCTCACAAAATTAAATTTATTTTTATTTAAATTTGTAAAACTACTCACTATTTTCCATTTTTTATTTTTTAAAATAAGGATTTATATAATGATTAGTACATATGCTCCGTTACTAACTCAAAGCTTCTATTTTTGACAAACTATCATACTTCATCCGTCCGGAAATAATCTTCCCATTTCTCCTTTTCTCCCGTCCGAAAATAATCTTCCTATTTCTAATTTTTACCACAATTCTTCCAAAAATACCCTTCTTATTCCCAAGTTGGGCATTTCTTCATTACATGCTCCAACTTGAGGGGGTGTAAAAGAAAAGAGAATATTTGGAATATATTTTCGTATATATTAGTTTTGGTAATTTCCTTGTATTAGTAGTTTACTTGTATAGGGTTTCCCTTTCCTTGTTTAGTTAGGATTCTCGACTTGTGAGAATCTATATATACATGCATTGGTTGTAAATTGTAAACAGAAGAACATACGAGAGAATTTTCTCCGAGTCAATTCTTTCAAAGTCTTAATGTAACTTGTAGATCAAGATATAAGAAATTGAATCCAAAACAACTTTTAGTTACATATTCAAACTAGAATTATGTTGTAATATATATGTGTGTGTGTGTGTAAAAAAGAACCTGGGATTAAATAGAGAGGTTGAAAGGGAAGAACGTATAATACATGTTGATTTAAGAGTGTTCTTATTGTGTCCCAAAGGTTTCCTAGTGTGAAGAAGATTGCAATCCACATAGAGAAGAGATTCTTTAACGTAATAGAGATCATGATATGCAATAGGATACGTGTTAAAAATGATGGATTAGTTATTATAGTACTCCGTAATTCGTATCAGCATAACGCATAATTAGTGGAGGATATTACAAGATGTAGGCCTTGTAGATTACGAGAATATATATATGCATTGTGTAAACATATTTGATGTCATTCTTTATGTTTTTGCATCTCTGTGTGTGAGAGTTTTAATGCTTAAAATGAATTTTAGATTAGATTAAAACCAATCTAATCCGGAGATTTCATATTTTTGTTTTTATACAGCTCACATGCTTCAAGATCATACTTTGAAGCATTAGTTTGAGTTCACCAAGCCTTTGGTTCTTCATTAAAAGATAAATCAGGTGAAAGATATATAGTACGAACTACGAAGTATAAGTAACACTAAGATGGGACTTAATAAGAGATTCATGGAAATTTTATTATTGGAGACATCACAGCCATTAATCAAGGGGAAACAAACCCCCCATTGAACAAGAAGCAACTTAATGAGAAGAATAAAATAACATGGGAGACCACAATCTGCGTGTCTCAAATGGACGCCAAATCAAGTCCGGCGAAGAATCATGATGATCAAAGTCTTAAAACTCAAAAACAACGTGGTGCACTTTCTCCCCTTCCCCAGGCAAACCCCCCAGGTTCAAAGTCACGAGTCCCGGCCCCGATTCGTATTCGAACTCCCTCACGTTTCCCCCAACCGTGCACCCCCTTGGCTGGGCAGACGAGTACGCGCCGAACCGACCGCACCCCTTCACCCCCAATGCCACTCCCCCCTTCCCCCCCTCCGCCCCGTACTTCAGCTCCTCAACCGCTCCCCCGGCGTTGAACATGTCGATGAGCCCCAGGGGTGCGAATCTGACCCCTGGGGCCAAGTCCTTGACGGGCGCCACGGTGAAGACCTCGTGCTCCAGCACTTTCAATGACACCGGCAGGGTTTCATTGTCTGCGAGGACAACGAGCCCGCCCCTTGCCTGAGAGTAAACCGCGCAGTCTCCGTTCCATTCGGGGCCTATATCCGCTGCTGCTTCGGAGATGAGGTGGACGTCTCGGCCTTTAATATGACCCGTTACTGCCTCGGATTTTGTTTCGTGGAACATGGTTATCTTCTCCACGGCATTCCAAGCCGCGCCTTGGCAGTTGTACACGCCCAGAACTCCTGTGTGCTTGTTCATGTTCCAGATCTTCAATAAGCTGAAACATCAAACGGACTAATAATGTTAATTTTGAGAATTGCCAACAAAAAAAAAAGATGAAACCCACTCTTTTAACTTGGGGTTTATGTTTTCAAATAGGCAGAACAATTCAATCCAACCAAGAGTGGGGTCTAGAGAAGATATGTGAAACTCTTTTCAAGAGACGCCGGGCTAGTAACACAGATAACACAAACTCGCAAAAGACACACAAAGCAAGAGAAAGCGTAGAAAACAAAACAAAGCAATACCTAATGCCATCGCGAGTGGGATCGGAGAAAAGGCAGTCCTTTGTGGGGCGGCCAGGCAAGCGAGCCCTGAGGACCGAACCATCAGGGAGGACGAGCTTCTTCAAGAGATCAAAGTCGTGTCTCCCGGGTGCATCACTGACATAGACAGGGCCACCACTGAGTGCTCGTGCCGAGCCATGATACTCCGCGGCCGGATGGAGGGAGTGAAACATGTCCCAATCCGGAACCATGAATTCGCCTAGGAAAACACCGTTGTATGCCACTGCGGCAATGTGGATGGTGTGTGAAATCGGGTCGCGCGGGAAGAAATCATCCGATGCCCTCGCAATAGCCACCTCTTTCTCACTGTTCCACGACAATTTCAAATCATCGGCAAATATATATAAATCATCAATTTTACGAACCGAGAAACGTAACGTAGGTACACCAATAAGTTATAACCCTGAAAAAACAGGATGAGCATAATACCAATAGAGAGCATCAGTGTTGTGGCTCATGCAAGCAATGACCCCATTATCTGGGAAGTTCTTAGAGACAGAAGCATCAAGAGCTTGATGAAACTGCTTTGTGATCTCCACCCTACCCCCAACCCCACCCCCCACCGTCTCCAGTATGCACTGCACGTCCACCTTCACCCCGTCCACCCCCGCCGACGCCAAGTAGCTGTGCATCTCGTCGTAGAACTTGTGTGCCCTCTTCGGGTCCACCACCCCGACGCCCTGAACCGCCATTTCGTCCGTTTTCCAGGTCAGTTCGTGCTCCATCACCCCCTCCGAGACCTTCGGGTACTTGAGGACCGACCCGTATTCCTCCATCCCCTTCTCCCCCGGCCGGACCCCGCCCCAGTACCCCGTGATCGCGTGCCACACGTACACGTATTTCAGGCCGTGCTTTTGCTTGGCGATGTCCACGATCTTCCGGATCCCGATGTTGTCCGGGTCGGGCTGTTGGAATTTCGGGTTCTCTTTTATTCCGGTGAGTCTGAATATGGGTTTCTCCTCCGATTCGTCGCCGCCGACCGTCTGCCAGCCGTCGTCGATTATCAGGAATTTCGGGGGGGTTGGACTGGAACAGAGGGTCTCGAGGCCGGCCTCCACGCCCTCTTGGGTTACCTCCTTGTAGAAGGCGTCCCAGGTGCACCACCCGAAGTAATCGACGATTCCGGGGAGCCTCTTCTCGTGCCGCTGGCGGAAACTGTTGAGGTGCGATTTCACCGCCCTCACGGCGTCGGATACGGCGGCGAACGGGTCGGATCCCACGTGGACGTAAACGGAGTGCGTGAACTCCGACCCGACCGTGTCCGGATCTCCGCTTTCCAGGCACAATTCCACCTCGTCCCCCGAATTCCCCTGCAGGGAAGCCCGGAATTTCCCTTCGATCAACGGGAGGAGAACGCAGTAAGCCTCTTCGTCTTCCTCGCCGGTGCCGTCCTTCAATTCGGCGAGGAGAAATTGGGTCTCCGCCGGAAGGTCACGGCCGCGGGACCCCATCATCTGCGACATCCACCACATCTTGAACCTGAACGAGGCAAAGAACTTCAAGCCCAGAAGCTTCCCGAGCGGGACCACATGGCGGGAGCTCTCGGCTTCGAAAAACGCTCCGAGGAACAGACCGTCGGTGGAACCCGCGGCGACGGTGACATTCTTCGGGATGTCTGAGAATAAAACGCGGTCGTTGGCGAACAGATTCCGGTCAGCAAATCGGACTGCCGGGGTGATGGTCATGGCAGGGCTGAACTAATTAAGCTAACAGAAATGTATGGGAAAGAGCTTAAGCGAGGGAGTAAAGAGAAGAGATGGTGGATTTTGAGGAAGTGAAGTGAGGCAATTTATAGGGAGGGCCGAGGGGGGATTAAACATTGAGGAATGCTATCTTCACAAACGGAATGATCACAAACTCCACAAACTTACTATTTATGGTTTAAATTCTCATTTTAAAATTATTTTAGACTATTTAATTTTCTTCATTGAAGTTCACAAATAATAAGTTTGTGAAGTTTGTAAAGTTTGAGTTTGTGAACCATGCATTTCCCCACATTTAAACTATAGGAACAAAGATGATGCTGCCTCGTCAGATCCTCCACAACTTTCACAGACAGCCGCTTCAACTTGGACCGTCTATTCTATTTGTTTTAATTTCAACCAAAAATTATGCACAATAATCACAATTTTACCCGATCTTTCAAAAATAATTGCAGATTTCTTTTTAATACAAAATAATCCGAGTTTACAAAAACTTTCGAATTTTGGGTCGCCGTTAAACTACTACCGGCAAGTTAACAAAAACGGTTTGTTTTGCGCAACAAAATGAAGTTGAAATTATTTTTTAATGAATTTTCATTTTTAAATTTTTTGAAATTTAAATTTAAATTTTTAAATTGACTTTCTGTCCCCATCATTTCTATTCTGTTAAAGATTAGTTTGACTTTGTATAAAAATAAAAGGTAGATATAAAAAATAACGAAGATGAGAAAATTAACTAAAATTATACAAAATTAATGAAAAATATAGTAATCAATAAAAATGAACCCGAAACAGGTAAGAAATAAAAAAATATAGAGTGGTGAGTTTTAACATTTTACACACTATACAGAGCATTAATGTATCATTTTTTCTTATTTTTAGAAAATATTATCTAGAATAATTCTAACTTTACACGTTCTTTCAAAAAATAAAGAGTGTCACATTAGTGTTCTGTATAGTGCGTAAAATGTTAGAGCACTTAACTCTTTATATTTTTATTTTGTTTCTTTTCCATTTTAGTTTAATTTTTATTGATTACATTATTTATTTCATTAATTTTGTATAATTTTAGTTATTTTCTCATTTTTGATGTTTTTAAATTGATTTTTATTTTTTTATAAGATAGACTTAATCTTTAAAACAGGAAAGAGAAATTGAAGTAAAAAGTCATTTTAAAAATTTAAATAAAAATTTCAAAAAAATAAAAAATAAAAATGAATATTCATAAAAAATAATCACACATTAGTAAGTTAACCGTAACCCAAAACTCTCTATTATCAGTAAAGTTGAGATTATTATGAATCAGTGAATGATGGAATTATTTTTGAATGACAGACTAAAGTTGGGATTATTTTGAATATTTTTTCCTAATTTAAATTATAATTCTCGTATTAGGATTTTAGTTTTTTAAATTTATTTTATTTTAAAAATAGTATTATAATTATAATATACTTTAACATCAAAAAATTATATAAAAAATTCTACAATAAGCAGTAACACAATTATTTTATTTTATCAAAAATTATCCTAAAGTGAGAAAAAGAAAATGTGTAGTACTCCTTAATGCATTTCGAGGAGGAGAGAATATTAAAAATGACTCCATGTCTCCATCCATGATCCATGTACCCAAAAAAAGAAAAAGAAGCGCACGCACCCCATCCTGGTTAGGAAAAAAATGCACTCCATACCCTCAAAGTTAGACTATGTGTTGTGCATTATGTACGGGGCTACCTTATTAGATAATGGAACAATTGTATTTATCAAAAAATTAATGAAATACATGCCAAAAAACATAGAGAGGATTATAACTCCAATTAGGAATTGAATCAATAATTAAAATTGACTAAAATATTAAGACTACGATAACTAGTACTACCATAATTACAAGAGGCCGGTTCTAGAGCCACTGGAATCCAGTGGCTACGGAAGCTACTGCCCCCCTACAGAGCTCCGTTCATGAAAATAATGATTTCTATCCCCTAACTCCCCGGTAAACCCCCTCGCCAAGTCTCGACCCAAACTACTCCCCCCACATACGTCAATTGCACCTCCCAAGTATAAAGTAAACAATTTTGACTCTAAAGTCAATTATACTTGCGAGGTGCAATTGACGTAGGTGGTGGGAGTAGATTGTGTCGAGACTTGGCGGGGGGTTTACCGGGGGGTTAGAGGGTAGAAATCATAAATTTCATGAATGGAGCTCCGTAGGGGGGCAGTGGCTTCCGTAGCCACTGGATTCCAATGGCTCTAGAACCGGCCTCTAATTACAATTATTGTCTAACTATTTTTTACAAAGAGAGAAAGTGGGATAAAGGACAGTGGCTATTCGGCACGCTCGACGAGTTCGCTGGCAACTGTTAGGCACGCACATAAATTTTTTGAAGATAAAGAGAGAGGGATAAGGAGCGATGGTGCCATGATTTGTGACGGTTGATCGTCGATGAAGAAGATCGGCGGTGGCGCACGATTGTAGAAGGGAGGGTAGGTTTGTGAGAAGAGATACCTTAGCTCCGACATCATATTGAATAATGGAATAATTGTACTACTCAAAGAATAATAAAATACATGACAGAGTATATATAGAGGGTATTATTACTTCAACTAAGAGCATGAGTAAATAATAGAAACTGACTTATTGTGTGAGAAGTGATAAGTTTGTTATTTGTACATATTTGAATATCTTTTGATAGACTTATTAACTTGGACTTTAATACAATTTGAGGCTTAATTCTGTATTACTTATTGGATATGTGATTTTGGACTGATTTATAATAGTTACTCCGTAATTGATTTTAGGGTCAAATTAGATGGCTGAGGGCTGAATTACAAGAAAAAATAAAATCCATGGGGCCAATTTACAAATTTTAGAAGTTCATCCCCTCACATCAAATTTGATAATGTGAAAGGAGGGATTGACTATCGGAGATTCGACCCGACCCGATCGGCGTGCACGAGCTCTAGACGTCTTCTTCCATCAGCGACCTCCAATTCCCGACATCGACGAAGGCTCTCCAATCAAAGCAGCGCCTCCAACTCCGGCGTCCAGCAGCGTCCAAACGAAAACCAGAGGCGGCGATCCGGCGCATTGAACTTCGGTGAGCTACCAGCAACAGCGGTCCAGCTCCATTTCCGGTCCGGCCTCTCAACTCCCAAGCGCAGCCCCTCCAAGGCCAAGCTAATTTCCGGCGATAGAAGAATCGCAGATCATGGATCGGAAAATCAGAGAAGGTAGCGCAGATCCAATTTAGGCGATAGAATTTAGTTTTTGCCCCGGTTCAGTCCATACCCAATTTTTAGTTATTGTCCCTTTTTGTCAATTTACTCCTAATTTATCCTTCTTGTTGGTGTTTCTCAGGTTACGGGTATGCATTATTCGGTTCGGACCCGGACCGATCTAAAACCCGGCCAAAACCAGACCGGACCGATCCGGATCGGTCTTTATTCTGTCCGGTCTTCAGTCCTCATTTTTCTTTATTCGGGTTCCGGTCCGGTCTATTGGGTTTCGGTCCAGACCGGTGGACCGGTTACATTTTATTTCTTTTTAAATATTTTTTCTATATAGTTTTATAATATTGTATTTTTAAAGTTTTTTCTTATACTAAAAATTATTTTAACTTTAATACTAAAAGTTTTTTAAATGTTTTGATTTTATTATTTAATATGATTTTTTAAATACATTTCACTTCAAAATAAGATACCAATTCTAACGATTTTTAAATATTTTTAATATGTAAAGTGTGACAAAGTAAACATTACCTTTATATTAGCGATCTAATGCATTTCAAATTTATGTACCAATACTATAACTTAAATTTGTACTTTATCAATAATGAAACTCTAATTCACAAAAACAAACATTGTAAACAATTTCATGAACAAAAATAGTAAAAAATGTATCCGTTTATCAAAATAAATCAAAAACTCAAAAAACTATTACAAAAAAGCAAAAACACACTATGAAGAAGAATATTCCCTATGTAAAAAAAATTACGAACAAATTTTATGTAATACGGATGGAAGATATATATTTTATTTATAATTTTTAAAAAAATTCAAAACAATTGTGTTTGACAATGTTTAGTGCATGTTACAATTAAAAATTATTTGTAATAATATTTTTATTCAATTGAATACTTAAAATTAAATAAATAAAATCAAATTTAAAAAAATTAAAAATAATATTTATTCGGTCCGGTCCCGGGCCAGTCCCGGGCCGGTCCTTAGCTTAATCGATCCGGTCCTCGGATCACCAAATGCTCCTTATTCGGTCCAAGTCCGGTCTCGATCCAGGCTGGTCCGGTCCGGTTTTTGACCCGATGAACACCCCTAGTGTTGGTGCTTATTAACTTATTGTGTATAAGTTGCTTATAAGTTAAAAAAAATTGTATAGATAAAATGACTTAAATGATATGGACCATGCTACATGTACCCCAAAATTTGTAACTGATTTGTACACCACAAGTATGTACCAACATTTTGATGGTTCACACTGACACAAAGTGTTGGTCGTTAACAAAAATTTACACTAACACAAAGTGTTGGTGCGTTAACAAAAATTAGTATTACACCAACACAAAATGTTGGTGCATCCCTGCGGTGTACAAAATGGGGTACAAATCCTTGGGGTACACATAGCTTTACCCAAATGATATATACTACCTCCGTCCCAGTGTATTCGTCCAGTTTGACTTTTTCAAGTCAAATCAGACAAGCTTTGAACCTCACTTTAGTAAAAATCGTAATGTATTTTACTATAAAAATCAGTTTAATTATATTTATTTTGTTGATATCTATTAAAACTTTAAATTATTGTATTAATATGCAACACAAATTAAGAGTAATTTATGATTAAAGTTTGGCCAGTTTGACTTGAAAAAGTTAAACGGGAGGAATATATACTAGAGCTAAGGGAGTAAGTCATATAAGGATATTCATAATATGTGAGTAATACTTTTGTAAGTAATCTGGTCAAAATAGAGAAACGAAAAAACAAGCTTAAAAATAAGACATACTTATTTTTTCTATCTTATAAGCAGCTTATAAGTTAACTTATAAGCACAGAAAACACCTCATATGTTGACTTATAAGTCAAAAACAACTTATGTGCAATTTTGACCAGTTTATAAGCACTGAGAAACACCCTCATATACCCCTAGCTCCATTTGTGAAGGGAGCTCCCCTATTTCTTTTTTTTCATTCATAGATTAGGGTTCATCTTCTTTAATCTTGTACTTTATTTTAGAAAGTTCCATCTTTAGATTTAGCATGTGAATGTTTATTATCTTGTTCCTTAGTGTTAGCTTTTATTTACTTCATCTCGTTCATGTTATGTTTGTTTGCCTCTCTTATCTTTATGCATCTCATTTAGATTAAGCATGCTAGGTTAGAATTAATACATCATGTCATTTCTTTCCGAATCCTTTTGATTGTGTACAATCATTTCAATTGTTTTATTCCCTTGTGATATCTGTTATCAACTCGCCTACTCAAGTAAAGAATCCTATTAAAGAAATTTGTGTTATTAGTAGAATGTGTCAGGAAACCACTCACGGTCAAGGTAACCAAGTTCCCAACAATGAGCACGTGAGTGTTCATACTGAAGCATCCAGCTTCACCCTTCCAATTCAAAATGAGTGTGTCAATCCCCATAATGTCTCCCAAAACCTGGGAAATAATCTAAACGCTGGTGGCCAACCTGACCTTGTGACTCCTGCCTTCTTGGTGAACTTGCTACAACAAGTTGCCAATGCTCCAATGTTTCAAGTGCCACCACCGCCACAACCTCGTACGATCACTTTCAAAATCTTGAAATACAATGGTGCTGATGAGTTTCTAGGAGATCAAATTACTAAACCTCATATCTCTCTTGATTGGATCGAGTAGATCGCTCGTGTAATAGGAGATTTGAACGTACCTCTTGAAGATCATCTGAAGCTTGCATCCCAAGTGCTCCGCAAAAGAGCTTATGAGTGGTGGAAACACACCGACGAAGATGAAAACACGCTGAAACCTCGGACTTGGGAATTTTCGACTGGGCGTTCAAGAAAGAGTATATCCCAACTTGATTTCACGAAGAAAAAACACGCTGAATTTGTTAAATTGAAGCAAGGAGATATGACGCTCCCTAAATACCGACAAAAGTTTGTCCATCTCGCTCAGTTTGCACCCACACTAGAGAGTAGTGTGGGCGACCACATCAAGGATTTCCGCAAGAGACTTCAACCTCACCTCACGCCACACGTGTCTATCATTCTAACTGTTGATTTCTCTGAGGCATACAATCTGAATTCCAAAGCCGAGAAAGATCTGAGCGACTACAAGGATAGTTTAAAGGTGGAAGACGTAGGTCCGAGTGTCCGCCGAATTGCAAATTCCACCCTGAGTGGAAAGAGACCCTTCCAAGGGACCAACAATTTACAACACTCCAAGAAGGGGAAATCAGTGGGAACCCAGTCCATGGCGTCTGGTGATAGACCAAGGAGGTGGACATCTGATGTGCGATTTGTGTGGAAGGAATCATCCCGGGGAATGCTGGCTTGTACAAGGGTTATGTTTAGGCTGTGATAAGTATGGACATTTTCGAAAAGACTGTCCCACTAATCTCGGTGAGCCATTCCAAGTTGCTCCTATTGTCCGCTAGTCAGCATCAGCACATCCTACACCTAGTCTGCGTTCTACAGCAGGATCCAATCCTCCTAAGAACCAACAGAGACGAGCTCCTGCACATACTTATGCAATGAAGGGACGTACTGAGGAGAATCTTGACATCATTCAAGGTATGTTTTCCTTGTTCGATACCATCATGCATGTGTTGATAGACCATGGATCGATGCTATCTTATGCATGTGTGCCTATGCTTGACAAATCAAACATCCTAAAAGAAAACTTAGAATATCGTGTAACACCGCAACCCGCGTAACCCGAACCACCGAGTTAACACATCCGGTTGTTACGAATTTGGTATATATTCACATGCACAATATTTTAAAAACATTTAAAATAAAACAATCATTCATATTTATTTACAAACAAATCATCGTTTAATTGGAGTAAATAAAACAAACGTTGCGGAAGCCTTGAAAACAACATTCAACATGAATACAACATTTAAGTATATTTTACATAGTACTCTTATTATAATTGTTATTGTTATTATTATTACTATTACTATAATATTCATAATAGGTAAATAAAATGAATAAATAAAATTTGACCACGTGAATACTATATATGTCATTTAATTAGAGATGGAGAGAGTAGAATAATTATTATTATTATTTTTAGATTAATAAAATATCCATAATTTTTGGAACATAGTTTACTATCATATAAATTTTAAAAAATCCCAATAAAATTGGACTCCATATTATTTATATTGAAAATAGAAGAGAAAATAATAATGAGTGTGAATCACAAAATAGTAAAATGGGAAAAATAAAAATTAAAAATTTGAAATAATTTATAAAATATAGTTATAATAATATTATTAATAGTAGTAGTAGTACGTAGTAGTAGTAGTAGCAGCAGCAATAATAATAATATATGAAAAACATATTATTTTTAGAGTCATTATTTTGGAGTAAAAAAGATTGAAGAAAATGGGAATTGTTGTGAAAATTTGGAAGAATCTGGAAAAAATTAGAAAAAACGAGAAGGAACTCGAAAAAATAGGAAAAACTCGAAGAAATTGAAAAAAGGAAGAAACTAGAAAAACATGACGGAATTAGAATAAACTAGAAGAAACCGGAGGTTAAAATTTTAAGCTCTAAAGAAGAGGCTTTCGGCTCTGTTTCGTCCAACTTATTTTTTCTGATCTGATCTGATTTTTGTAGTTCTGATCTGATCTGATCTAATTGGATCTGATCTGGTCTGGTTTGATCTGATTGGATCTCATCTCATCTGATTGGATCTGATCTGATTAATTATGATTTGATTTAAAATTCAAATCAATAATTTGATTTGAGTTTATAATAACGTTTGAAAATTGTAATGATAATTCATATTATAAGATAATCAATATTTTTTATTTTTTATTTATTTTTTAATAAAATAAAATTAGTTAATTTATATATTAGAATAATCATTCATATTTTAATGTAATAATATTTTTTATTTTATGATTATTGTTTGTGAAATAAGAATATTGATTTAATATTTTAATAATGAGTTCATAGATAAATTAGAATAAATATTTAATTTATATAAAATCAATACATAGAAGAGATAGTATTTTTATTAAAATATCTCATCCTTGTAAAAGATCAAAACTTTAGAAACTC